AAAAAAAAAAAAAAAAAGGAGTTAAATGTCCAGACCCCCAGCTCCAACCCTCAGGGCTGTTGCCAGCTAGTGACAGAACAGCCCCCACGGCCACTCCTCTCCAGAAGCCACCTTGGCTGAACACTCTTCCACTGATGTAAGAAAGAAGGTGACATGAATCTTAGCTGTATAAGAAAAACTGGAATGTAATGATCCAGCTTTTATGTAAAACAGCACATCACTATGTGAAAATGTTAACAGCTATCTCCACCTCACAAAAAACAACTGAAGAGGTCATATTAAAGGAGAAGGTGAACAGATCAAGGTGCTATTATTCTAAAGGAAAAGGGGTGGAGGGTGAACTTCAACTTTTTTTTCCTGGAAGTGATCTTCATAACTGCACAAACACAAAATATTTGTTTTGAACACCTGGAACTAGCACAGACCAATATACACAGTCACAGACATACAACCCCAGTGCTGATTTCAAAGAGTTCTACCTTGTCCTAGCTTCAATATCGATGTAAGAATTCGGTGCCACAAAGTGGGTAACATCTGCAATGTGGACTCCGAGTTCCAGGTTGCCATCATTCAAGGTTCTGACAGAGAGTGTGTCATCCACATCTTCGCAGCCTTTGGGGTCAATGCTGAACACAAGGAGTGTTTTCCTCAAGTCTTTACGCCCTTGTTCCTCCTCAGGACTCACTGTCCAGGGGTGTTCAGGCGTGTTCACCGGCATCTCACACATCTGCACAAGAGGCTGAGTGTTCAATTCATGCCCCTCGTATTTCTATAAGAATGTGCTAATATTCTCAGTGTGATACACAGAAATCCATTCATTCCCACTGCCTTCTGCACCAAACTGTTTGTGTCTTTTGATCAATAATTATTTATAGGCCAGGTATGGTAGCTCAAGCCTCTAGTCCCAGCACTCTGGGAGACCAAAGTGAGAGGATTGCCTGAGCCCGCGGGTTCAAGACCAGCTTGGGCAACATGGTGAGACCTCATCTCTACAATAAAACCAAATATATATATATATATATTTATTAGGAGCCTAGGTGTCTCAGGTACTGTGCCAGGCACTGGAGGGTCAGGTCTCAACAGAAAAGACATGACCTCGAGAACTCTTACATTCTGCTGGGAAACATCTTGAAACTTTTACCAGTCTCTTTGGTTATGGTGGCTTGGAGCAAGAGTACAACATGTACCCCATTTTCAGTGATTCATTTGTTTAAATGTAATTGGCCTTTTAATTTAAGTCAAGCCCTGAAAATAAAAACAACATGTCCCAAATATCAAAAGCTTACCCCAACACTTTGGGAGGCTGAGGTGAGAGGATTGCCTGAGCCTGAAGGTTCAAGACCAGCCCGGGAAACTTGGCAAGACCTCATCTCTACAATAAATAAAAAAATTAGCTAGGCATGGTGGCACGTGCCTGTAGTTCCAGCTACTTGGAAGGCTGAGATGGATACATTGCCTGAGCCCAGCCAGTTGAGGCTGTGGTGACCGGGAGTGTGCCACTGCACTCCAGCCTGGGTGTCAGAGTTGAGACTCCAACTCAAAAAAAAAGAAAAAAAAGTTTACTTCTTAAAGACAATTTAAACAAGACCAATCTAGGCCATTTTCTCTCCATTACTGCCTGTTTAAGCCATCAATTTGCAGCTAAGTAGGCTAAAAGGGAAGAGAAAATTCTAGTTCTGTGAAGTCTAGTCTATATTTTATTCTAACATATTCACTAAGAACTGCCAAGAAAGTTAACAAATAATTTCTGGAAACTAATGTTCAACATAAAAATTTAATAGTGTAAAATATCCTAAATGTTTTGTTATGATAGCTCCTATTCTGTTAAAAATGATAATGAAAATAATAACACTTTTGCTGGGTACAGTGGCTCATGCCTGTAATCCCAACACTCTGGGAGGCTGAGGTAGGAGTACTGCTTGGGCCCAGGAGTTTATGACCAGCCTGGGTAACATAGTAAGACCCTGTCTCCACAAAAAAATTTAAAAAGTAGCTGGACGTGGTGGTGTGCACTTGTAGTAGTTCCAGCTACTTGGGAGGCTGAGGTAGAAGGATCGCCTGAACATAGGAGTTAAGAGGCTGCGATGAACTGTGATCATGCCACCGCACTTCAGTCTGGGTGATAGAGTGAGACACTGACTCAAAAAAAAGGAAGTAAGGGCCTGGCTTGGTGGCTCAGCCTATAACCCCAGCACTTTGGGAGGTCGACGCAAGTGGACTACCTGAGCCCGTGGGTTTGAGACCAGCCCGGGCAACTTGGCAAGACCTTATCTCTACAGTAAATAAATAAATAATTAGCTGGGTGTGATAGCATATTCCTGTAGTTCCGGCTGCTTGAAAGGCTGAGGCAGAAGGATCACTGGAGCTCAGCAGGTCGATGCTGGAGTGGCCATGAGCATGCCACTGCACTCCAGCCTAGGTGACAAAGTGAGACTCCAACTCAAAAAAAAAAAAAAGGAAGAAAGAAAGAAAACAAGAACACCTATACACTTGTGATGGCAGCACAAACAAGTCCAATTTTTCTGGAGAACAATCTATCAATATATAACAAAACTACTTTAAATCTTTTACGTCCTTTGACTTGGTCATCTTACTTTAAGGACTATATTCCAAGAGAATGACCAAAAATAAATAAAAAAGCAGAGTTTATAAAAATTTTTGAAGTAGGCCAGACTCAGTGACTCAGCCTGTAATCCCAGCATTTTGGGAGACTGAGGTGAGAGGACTGCCTGAGCCCGTGGGTTCGAGACACACCTGGGCAACTTGGTGAGACCTCGTCTCTACAACAAATCAAAAATTAGCTGGGCTTGGCAGCATACGCCTGTAATTCCAGCTACTTGGAAGGCTGAGGCAGAAGGATCACTGGAGCCCAGCAGGTCGAGGCTGCAGTGGCCGGGAGTGTGCTACTGCACTCCAACCTGGGTGACAGAGTGAGACTCCAACTAAAAAAAAAATTTTTTTTCGTGACCCGCCTGGGCAACTTGGCAAGACCTCATCTCTACAATAAAAATCAAAAAATTAGCCAGGTGTGGTAGCACGCACCTGTAGTTCCAGCTACTTGGAAGGCTGAGGCGGAAGGATCGCTGGAGCCCAGCAGGTCGAGGCTGAGGTGGCTGGGAGAGGCCACTGCACTCCAGGCTGGGCTACAGAGTAAGACTCCAACTCAAAAAAAAAAAAAAATTTTTTTTGAAGTAACATTTTTTATAATACTGAAAAATTAACCAGAACAATTGAGAAATGCTTAGGCAAACTAGGGCACATCAATATATAGGGTAATTTACCATAACTATTAAAAGTAAGTAGGCTGCGTCAATATATAAAAATAATTTTAAGTGAAAGAAGCAGAACAAAAAATAGTATATGCACACTATGAATATAGCTATGCAAGAATAATAAACAAGATTTATGAGGACTTTAAAAGACCATAAAGTGATGGAAACAGCCAATGTTTTGTGTTTATGGGGCTTTTGTTTTCTGTGAAGGTTATAAGAACTATCTCATAATGAGATGACTTTTGGCCCATGGGTCAGGATAGATGGATCCTCGAATCTGCTCCCTGTGGCTCCACACAGCCTCTGGTTGATGATTCTGGTCGGAGTAGAGCAAGCTGGGCCTATAACTAGGTGTCCTTGTAGCTGCTGGGGATGGACGCACACTGGCTTTAAGACACTGACTTATCATTTTTAAGCCCAGTTGGAAAACAGAAAGAGGAGGGAGCTGCAAGTCTGTAGAGAATGAACTCTACATGGGAGCTGACTTCAGCTGGTCCAAATGCAGAATACAGAAGAGTGAAAATTTTCCATTAGCTGTGCTTCAGACAGTGAATTGTTACATGGGACAAATATTTTTTTCTTTCTTAGTGATGAAAAAAATAACGCAAGCTAAAAGAAAACATCTGTCACTAGGCCCAAGGCCCCTGGAAAATCTGACCTGAGCTTCTGAGAAAGGTACAACTGAAATGCTGTTTTCTACTAGGATGGTGGCGATTTCTCCTTCCAGATCTCCAATTCTTCCCAAAACACGTACAAAATGTCCATTTGGATACACGGATGTTGACTCCCAGGAATCGATGCGCACAACCACCCTGAAGTCCTGCTCGAAGGGAAAAAGAAAACAGCCAGAGCTCAGGAGTTAAGTGGGTCGATTAGAAGTGTCAAACAAACAAGATAAACAGCACTGTGCTCCAGGGAGAGTGGCCAGTGTACAAATCAGAGCATGTGACAGGCTTGTGTTTTCCATCCTTCCCATTATAAATTGCCAGATGGGATGTAAGTAAGTGCTGGGCCCAGTGCTGTGAAAGAAGGCATTACCTCTCTACATCAAATGTGTGCACTGGAAATTTTAGTCAGAGAAGGGAGCCAAATGTCATATATTCTAGTTGGCACTTGAAATACAAGAGAAAAACCCAATTGTGCACAGTCCACATTGTTTTACAACGAAAGTCTCTCTCCATGTTGTGTGTGTGGGAGTTACTTTCAATTTTTTTGAAGTCTTAAGGTACTCTTTGGTGAGGAAGAAGGGATCAGTGCAAATTGAACCTCCATGGCCCCCAAATACCAGCAAATCATGGAACTGGAAGGAGTAACAGTTGCACCTGCAATAAGAGTTTGAGATGTAAGAGGTACAACAGCCAGGTTACTGGCTGCTCCGTATCTCATTTACAAATTGTAAAGCATCAGGTGAGTTGACAAGACAACACTGGCACTTTGCCATGAGTAAAGGTTAACTTCTAGCTTTCTTGTTTATGCCTTCTTGGATTCCTTCATGGATAATCAATTCTGTGAAGTACCACTGCATCATCCCTCCAGGGCAGAGGGATTATATTTCTCTATCACTCGCTCGAGGAAAGCTTGTTAGTGCTGGCAAAGCAAATCTATCGAAAGTTTCTGTGTTGGACAGCAGGATAATGTATGATCCCCGGCTGTCCTACACAGCTCTTTCTAGGACAATTTCTCTCTGGCCCGCATTTATTAACCATGAACTACTTAATGGATGACTCTTATATATTTAGAATTTTTAAAAAACAGTCTTAAAATGCCAGATGCCATCAATAATTTATTTCCTCTTAAACCAAAGAATTGACAGTGCTTCCTGGTCCTGTTCTAAGGCTAGCAAACACAGAGGGGACAGTGAAAGGACAATGCCAGCTACCTGGAGGGCTTCTGCTTGTTGGGTGCTAATTCGAATTTTGGGAATTCTGTAATCCCAGGGTGTAACCAGGATTTTCTGAGGATTTTTGCCCTGAGACTGGACCTCTTCTTTGGACGGAAATGTCACCACATAATCCCGCCAATTCTTCTGAAGGATGCCTACCACTCGACCTTTGAGAAAACAAAACAATGTGTTAACTGGCTACACATCATCTATCTGGATTATGACCAACTCAGCAGTAAGGAAATTCACAAGAAATATAAACATGCTTTTTATCAAGTACATCTACACAAATCAAGATGTGTTTAAGATTTGCCTTCTTTGCATTTTATTTTAAAAACTAGCTGGATGTGATGGCACATGCCTATAGTCCAAGCTACTAGAGAGGCCAAGGTGGGAGGATTGTCAGAGCCCAGGAGGTTGAGGCTGTAGTAAGCTGTGATCGTGCTACTACACTTCAGCCTGGATGACAGAGTGACACCCCAACTCAAAAAAATAAACAAAAAAGAGAGAGGAGACTTTAAGTGTCCTCACTACAAAAATAAGTATGTGAGGCCATACATATGTTAATTACTAGATTAAGTCATACCACAATGTACTATATCAAAACATGTTATACTTATAAATATATACAATTTTTGTCAACTTAAATAATAAATAAACTAGGGGCAGTATTTCTGGATTGTTAGAGAAGACAAATACAATTCCACAAGGAGTATAGAGAAGGGAGTGCCCATATAAGGCTTGCCTGTGGGCACAGGCTCAACTGTGGGTGTGGACTTACCCATGGACGTGGCCTCACCTGTGGGCATGGGTTCACTTGGGGACTCGCCCAAGGCCTTGTCATCTCCGTCATTCTCAGACAGTGCTGCAGTCCTCCCTTTCCATTCATTTCTAGGGAGCAGTTCTACGACTACCACGTCACCATGAATCGAGCGATTTCGCGCCTTCATCCCGTGTATTAAGATGTCGCTCAACAGACCTGTGTTTGGGGCAGCACAGAAATACCCCATGAAGCCAAGGAAGGCCACCCCAGTGAAGCATCCAAACATGACACACCTGTAGTCTAACCAACAAAAGCTTCTTCTTTCCAGGTCAGGAAGGAAGAAATGCTGCCATCATGTCATTATCGTTTAATGTGCTTTTGTAAGGACCACCTTCAACCATCTTAAAAAAAAACTCAACTGGATAGTGACTCACACCTGTAATCCCAACACCTTGGGAGGATGAAGTGGAAGGATCGCATTGAGCCCAGGAGTTTGAGAACACCCTAGGCAATACAGAGAGAGCTTTTGTGTGTGTGTATGTGTGTGTGTGTGTGAGTTGGAGTCTCACTCTGTCGCCCAGGTTGGAGTGGTAGCACACTCACGACCACCACAGCATTTATCTGCTGGGCTCTAGTGATTCTTCTGCTTCAGTCATTCAAGTAGCTGGAACTACAGGTATGCACTATCACACCTGGCTAATTTTTTTATTTTACTGTAGAGACGAGGTCTTGTCAAGGTGCCTGGACTGGTCTCAAACCTGCGGGCTCAGGTAATCCACTAGTGTCAGCCTCCCAAAGTGCTCGGATTACAGGCTGAGCCACTGAACCCGGCCGCAAGACCTCATTTTTACCAAAAAAAATTTTTTTTTTTTTTTTTGAGTTGGAGTCTCACTCTGTCATCCAGACTAGAGTGCAGTGGCCGCTCCCGGCCACCGCAGCCTCGACCTGCTGGACTCTGGTGATCCTTCCGCCTCAGCCTTCCAAGTAGCTGGAACTACAGGCACACGCTACCACGCCCAGCTAATTTTTGATTTATTGTAGAGATGAGGTCTCGCCAAGTTGCCCAGGCAGGTCTCGACCCCGTGGACTCAGGCAATCCACTCTCCTCTGCCTCCCAAAGGTGCAGGATTACAGGCTGAGCCACCGAGCCCGGCTCCAAATTTTTTTAAAAATAACCAGGTGTGGTGGCATGCATCTGTAGTCCCAGCTATTTGGGAGGCTGGGGAAGGAGGATCCCTTCAACACTGGAGGTCAAAGCTATGGTGAGCCATGATAATGCCACTGCACTTCAGCCAGGGCAACAGAGTGAGATCCCCAACTCAAACAAAAATGTTTCCAGCTAACCACCTTTTAAGAAGGTGCTAGTTCCCTGCATGCAACTAGGGAGCCTATTCTGAAATTGTCAAATACCTCTAGGCTCCTACACAGGTGGGGAGGGTCAGCGGGCTGATGACCACAGGCCTGTAGAATTGACAGCGATTCTCATTCTTTTCCAACCAGTCACGCTCCCTTGACTAGCAGGGATTTTTTTCACCCTGTCATTACAGAACCAATAACTACATTCCATTATCATACAACTTGCACATGTAAAAAATTTTTATTACTTAAAAAAATTATTCCAACAAGGCGATATAGCACCTTGAAGCAGCACAGTCATGTCTGAGAACCACTGTCTCACACCTGGCTGCAAGCTCTGGTCACTACTTGCCGGATGTGTGACCTTGGACAGGTCACTTTGCTTCTCTGTGTTATAGTTTATTACAATAAAATCAGAACATAAAGACAAAAAGCTAGGGGGGAAAAACCCCACCATCCCACACATCCTATGTATGTGGGCATATATGACACAGCACCTTCAAGGCAGAATTAGAAAGTAGCATGAAAGTTTATGTAAGGTTTATACTGAACCTGAATCTTTACTGCTGGCTCCTTGAAGTCGAACAAAAGCTTCTACTTGTGCTCTGTGTTTGTTGACATTCAGAATTCCCTAAAATCATAATTTAAAAAATCAATGTGAAAAAAAATTCCTTTTCTGCCTGGTTTACCTCCAAAATGTCCAGTTTTTAAAACCATATAAAAACATTCCTACAATAAGGTTCTTACAAGGCTTGTGATCTCTTTCTTTAGGAATAATATTCACTACTAAGGTTTCTTTTCTCCCGAGAAAAGACTTATTTTGAACTACTCCTAGCATGCCAAATGTTCGAAGTACCAGGATCTGTTTTGCCTCAGTGACAAGCAGTCTTTAGAAAACCTACAGCTGGGCACAGTGGCTCACACCTGTAATCCCAGCACTTTGGGAGGCGGAGGCGAGAGGATCGCCTGAGCCCGCAGGTTAGAGAACAGCCTGGGCAACATGGCAAGACCCTGTCTCTACAATAAATAAAAAATCAGTCGGGCGTGGTGGCGCACACCTGTAGATCCAGCTACTTGTAAGGCTGAAGCAGAAAGATGGTCTAAGCCCAGTAAGTTGAGGCTGTGGTGGCCATGAGCATGCCACTGCACTCTAGCCTGGGCAGCAGAGTAAGACTCCTACTCAAAACAAAACAAACAAAAAACACCTCCTATAAATCAAAATATCCTCCCAGGAATGCCACCTCTCAGAAACTTTACCACCAAGTGGGAAACATTAGCCTTTCTAGATACAGTTATTTAAAATAGCCATATTTTAGGGAGGGACTCTGGCTAATAAACATCTCCTGAGTTTCCTATTAGAAGTATAAAATCCAGCTGGGCTCGGTGGCTCAGCCTGTAATCCCGCGCCTTTGGGAGGCTGAGGTGAGTGGATTGCCTGAGCCCGCGGGTTCGAGACCTGCCTGGGCAGGCAAGACCTCATCTCTACAATAAATCAAAAAATTAGCCGGGCATGGTAGTGTGCGCCTGTAATTCCGGCTACTTGGAAGGCTGAGGCGGAAGGATCGCTGGAGCCCAGCAGGTCGAGGCTGCGGTGGCCGGGAGCGGCCACTGCACTCCAGTCTGGGCGACAGAGTGAGACTCCAACTCAAAACAAACAAACAAACAAAAAACCAAAACAACAAAACAAAACAAAAAAAGAAGTATAAAATCCACAGTACCACTTTTCTGCATTTTGATTATGGTGGTGGCTACACAAGACTATGCATATAGTAAAACTGCATAGAGCCACATGTACACACGTACACAAATGAACCTAGGTAAATCTGCTGAAATCTGAATACAAATGTGATCTGATTACCTCCCCTAGCCCTGAGAGCAAATGGGTTCTAGGTCCTGGTGTAGGATTCACAAAGGAGGCCTTGAAAGGAGCAAGAAAAGGGCAAAATGTAAAGAAGCTATATTTCACCCATTTTATGATGTTGCCAAGACCCCAGATCTTGACTCAAAAATCCATGAGAGGTATTCACAAGGCAGCCTCCACCCTCTGCTGTGTGATGCTAAGTATGCAACACAACTGAGATCACCGGACAGCTGTGTCCACGGGAGGAATGACTCCATAGCCTTCAGATGCAGATGGTCCTGTCTGCCTCCACTTGTCTTCTGCTGCCTGTGAAGTGAGAGTCCCAGAACGGGAGGCCAGGAAAGAAGAAAAGAAACACCCTGGCTGGTCCCAACTCCCACACCTGGATGTAGCGTCCGGACTTAATCCCTGCTTCCAGCACTTCCAAGGGGAGGTGCTCCGGGTACTCTTTCCTGTGGCTCTCCTGGCTCTCCCTCTCCCTCTCCCGTCGAGACTGAAGGATTGAATCGCAGAGCTCATGGGCAGCCTTCAGGTCAGGCCAAAAGTTGTCCAGGTAATTCTGTATTTAATAAAGCAACAGAGAAATATGGTCATAAGATGGTGACTCCTCACTTTAGCACTGCTACCAAGTCCTGACAGGGACAGCTGGCTGCAGCTCTGAAGAAGTGAGAAATGGGTACAACCTGTCTGAGCGCTTTTGACCATCTCCTTAGACTCTGGGGCTTGCAGGTGGCCTCACAAGGCCATCCACCTCCTGGTTACTCTGCACTTCCAAACCTCTCTCCAACCCTGCACACGTGTACATGCCCAGATGGCCTGTCCATGTGTACCTCACTGCTGTGGAAAGTGGCCTGTGGAGCTCAAGAGGAAATGCTTTGGGTGCACATTCTGGTCTTCTTATATGTGACCTAACTTGGCTTTAATCTAAGGTAGAGTCTAGCACGTTTTTGTCTCAAGTTGAGAAGAAAGTAAATTATCCTTAATGTTAGCTCAAACGTTTCTCTCAATTTTAGGGTCCTGTTCAAATGGTTTCTTTTCTCTCTAGTCCTTCCAGAAATTCTGTCTGCACTGACAGCAGTGTGCCAATTCCATGGCCACTTGTCACTGATAAACACCAAACTTCTGTTCTCTCCAAGACCCTCTCCAAGAAGGACCTATGGTCTTGGCTCTTCTCTGTCTCCCTTCACATCCCCATAGAGAATTCTGGACTTCCATCTCATCTGAGCTCCACAACGTCTCTTTTTTCTATCATCATTCACCTCTATGAGGCCCTTGGTCACATAGTTTTTCTTGAGAAAGGCTATACAAAATTAAACTGTAGTATACCACAGGACTACACAGAAAAGTAATTTTCACAAAAAGTAGAAAAATGTAATTTTAGTCAACTGTCCTCTGCAGGAACAAGACATGATATATTGCAACAGAAAAAACAAGTGACACTGCCATTAATATCCAGTACTCCTGGAATCCTCTGGCATGCTAGAATACTTTTATAGCAGGGCCAAGAAAATTCTATTGGCACATCTTTAGCAATACACACACCTGGGAACCCTTATGGAATCTACAATTCAAAACCCAACTCAACTTCTGTAAACTGACAGGGTATGGAAGGACCTCATTTTGGTTCTGCAAAAAAATGTTATCAGCCAGTGGACCCCTGATGGACCCACTGGGCAGACAGATTGGTAATCCACTGAGAGAAGATTAATACTCACCCTGCTCTCACATAGGTACCAAGAGACAAGAAGAACTATGCTGCCCAGACAGCCCAAAGTACTGTCATTGACAAAGTCACCTGTCCTGAGTGACCAAGAACCTTCACATAAGTAATAGCACGTTGTACCTTTCCATGTGTTGTTTGCCCCTGTGAATACTCTCAGCTGGGGAGGGTAAAGAACAGTTAAAACACAAGCCTGGCGTTGAAAACGGCTTGTGATTGTGTGTATATTCAGGTAAGTCACTTGTGAGGCAGGTGTACAACGGCCAGAAGCTTATTGTCATATGGCCTGGATTTTTAAAAAAAATTTTTAATGTAAAGATGTGGGATACAATTCAGGATTAGGTATACAATCATTGATCATGCAGGTACCCCTGTTAATGAGGTATGCCCCTCCCTGCCCTAGCAGTTTCCCCCAACTGCCAATTCCATCCCGCCAACAGTTTCCCATTACTGCCAATTGCTTTCTTATAGAATTATAATTGTTCAAGGTCCTCTTATGAGTGAGAACATAAGGAACGCTGCTTTTTTGTTTCTGTGATAAATCATTGAGTATGATCGATTCCAAATCCAGCCAGGTTGCTGCAAAGTCCATATATTTGTCGTTCTTTATAGCTGCATAATATTCCATTGTGTATATGTACCATATCTTTTTTTTTTTTTTGGAGTTGGAGTCTCGCTCTGTCGCCCAGACTGGAGTGCAGTGGCCACTTCTGGCCACTGAAGCCTCGACCTGCTGGGCTCCGGCGATCCTTCCGCCTCAGCCTTCCAAGTAGCTGGAACTACAGGTGCGTGCTACCATGCCTGGCTAATTTTTTTGATTTGTTATAGAGATGAGGTCTAGTCAAGTTGCCCAGGCAGGTCTCGAACCTGCGGGCTCAGGCAATCCACTCACGTCGGCCTCCCAAAGTGCTAGGATTACAAGCTGAGCCACTGAGCCTGGCCACTACATCTTTTTTATCCAGTCCAGTTTTGATAGGCAACATGGTTGGTTCCATGTTTTTGCTATTATGAATAGAGCTGCAATAAACATTCGTGTGCAGGTATCTTCTTTGTAGAATAATTTGAGTTCTTCCGGGTATATTCCCAATAGGGGAGTTGCTGGATCATATGGAAGGTCAATTTCTAGTTCTTTCAGAAATCTCCAGACTGTTTTCCAGAGAGGTTGTACAAGTTGGCATTCCCACCAGCAGTGTAGAAGTGTTCCTTTTTCTCCACATCCTCACCAGCATCTGTTGTTGTTTGTTTTATTAATGATGGCCATTCTTACAGGAGTTAGGTGGTATCTCAGTGTGGTTTTGATTTGCATTTATCTGGTGATGAATGGTCTGAACACTTTTTCATGTGTCTGTTGGCTGCCCGTATATCTTCTTTTGAGAAGTGTCTATTCATGTCTTTTGCCCACATTTTTTTTTTTACTTGGAGTCTCACTCTGTTGCCTAGACTGGAGTGCAGTGGCCACTCCCGGCCACTGCAGCCTCGACCTGCTGGGCTCTGGTGATCCTTCCACCTCAGCCTTCCAAGTAGCTGGAACTACAGGCACGCGCTACCATGCCTGGCTAATTTTTTTTTTTAATTTATTGTAGAGATGAGGTCTCGCCAAGTTGCCCAGGCGGGTCTTGAACCTGCGGGCTCTGGCAATCCACTCACCTCAGCCTCCCAAAGCGTGGGATTACTGGCTGAGCCACCGAGTCCAGCTTTTGCCCACTTTTTAAAGGGACTGTTTGTTTTTTCCTTTTGGTGCGTTTGAGTTCCTTATAGATCCTAGATGTTAGGCCTTTGTCAGATATACAGTTGACAAATTTTTTTTTCCATTCTGTGAGTTATCTCCCTGCTCTCTTGATGGTTTCTTTTGCTTTGTTGAAGCTCGTTAATTTGATGAGGTCCCACTCGTCTATCTTATTTCTTTTTTTTTTTGGAGTTGGAGTCTCACTCGGTCACCCAGACTGGAGTGCAGTGGCCACTTCCAGCCACCGCAGCCTCGCCTGCTGGGCTCCGGCGATCCTTCCGTCTCAGCCTTCCGAGTAGCCAGAATTACAGGTATGCGCTACCACGCCCGGCTGATTTTTTGATTTATTGTAGAGATGAGGTCTCGCTGCCCAGGTGGGTCTCGAACCCGCGGGCTCAGGCAATCCACTCACCTCAGCCTCCCAAAGGCGCGAGATTACAGGCTGAGCCACTGAGCCCGGCTTTATCTTATTTCTTACGGTTTTGGGTTTAGGGTTCCGGATAGGAATTTGTTGCCAGTTCTAATTTCCATAAGGGTGTCTCCTGCGTTTTCTAAGATTCTTATAGTTTGAGGTTTTACGTTTAGATCTTTGATCCATTTAGAGTTAATTTTTGTGTATGGTGATAGGTAGGGGTCCTGTTTCAGTCTTAGGCATGTGGTCAGCCAGTTTTCCCAGCACCATTTACTGAATAGGTTTTCCTCTCCCCAGTAGGCTTTTGTTGGAGGTTTTGTCAAAGATGAGTTGGTTGAGGAATTGAGGCTTGGCTTCTGGAATCTCTATCCTGTTCCATTGGTCTATGTGCCTGTTTTTATACCAATACCAAGCTGTTTTGATTACTGTAGCTTTATAGTAGAGTTTGAAGTCTGAAAGTGTGATACCTCCTGCTTTGTTTCTCTTGCTAAGGACTGTTTTGGCTATTCGTGGTCGTTTATGTTTCCATATGAATTTCTGTATTGTGGTTTCCAGATCTGAGAAGAATGATGTTGGTAACTTAATGGAAATTGTGTTGAATCTTTAGATATGGCCTGGATTTTGATCATAGCTCTATCATTTGCTCCCATGTGGTTCAGCCTTTCTGTGCTTCTGTTTCCTTATCAGTAAGATGGGTGTTAATACCCACCTCACAGGGTTGTTGCAAGAATTAAATGGCACGAAGAATAGTACATGGCATAGATACATGCTGGCTGTCACTATTCGGTGGAGCCATGGAAAATTGCCATTGTGTAGGTCAAAACCAAGAGAATAGGGGCAATTTTATTCAGCCTGTAACCCTTGTCAGGACTGTCACTGTTGTAACTGCCAACACTGGTTTACCGTCAGCAGGGGCTTCCTGGGCAGGTGCTGGATGCTGTGGGCTCTGCAGTCACAGGAGTTTGTCTGAATCTGTGAAAGTCATGGTTAACTGGTGAGTAATGAAGACAGAGCCTTCCTTCCTTATTTTCTCTGTTCTGTGTTACCAAAGGGATCTAGAGCCTTATGGTCACTACTTAGGAGAAATGAGCATATACACACTCACACACATACATAATAGCTGGAAATACCTTGAAAGAAATCACAAACACTCCTTCTGTTTCACTTCCATACTGCTGAATTGCCTCTTCATCTTCTGTCACCATAAGTATTGGCATCTTGTTCTGGAGGTGGTGATAGTACCAGACAGCCGCCTTGTATATGCTCCTAGAAGAGCAAAGGGCATGTAAGCTCACACAAGGCCATGGTTCAGAATTTCACACCTGGCTTTTAATCTGCCATCCTTGGTTTTGACATTTTTTTGACATTCATTCATTCAATAGATAGTTCCAGAGTATCCATTATAAATAAGGCTGGGCTTGGTGCTCTGGGGGATACAAAGATGAATCAGAAAGCACCTGACATCTCTTCTTCCCTAGGCCATCCAGCCCCCATTGCTGGGCATGGTGGCTCACGTCTGGAATTCCAATACTTTGGGAAGCCTAGGTGAGAGGATTGCTTGAGGCCAGGAGTTTGAGACCAGCCTGGGCAACACAGTGGGACTCCATTTCTTAAAAAAAAAAAAATAGGAGGGAAGCAGTAAAGGATGTGCCCTTATTGTGGAGAAGGAAGACTATAATCCTAGCACTTGGAAGGCTGAGGGGCTGAGGCAGGACAGTCACTTAAACTCAGGAGTTTGAGGATGCAGTGAGCCATAATCATACCTCAAAACTCCTGCATGGGTAACAGAGCAAGACCCTTTCTCTAAAAAAAAAAAAAAAAAAAAAAAGGCATCCAACCAACACAACAACCACTTTCATGTCTCCCTATGGCCTAGAAACATGAGACTGCCATCTTTCACACCCTTTAACTGGTGGGCTAAGCCACACAGCACTGTACAGGTGACAAGTTATGCCATGAGACTTAAAAGACAAAGAAACAAGTCTTTACCAAGTTGCAAGTAACTGACAATCATAATCCAATAGATTGACATGGGATCAGGTGAGATGCCTGGACCTCTTCCTGAAAAGAACTGGGACGGGGACACGGATCCCAGACCTGGAGAATTGTGTTCCAGATTGGACTATGTTCTCAGTGAGGAAGACAGGCGTGCACAGCTGTCTCTAGATTCTGTTCCCCTTTCTGAAAATTAAGGTACTATGTAAGGTCCCTTTAGCTCTAGATTTTTAAAAACATCATTGACTTATACCTACTATATGCAAGGCTGTCTAGTAAGTGCACAGGATTACCCTGTCCTCTTGTGTAACCTATTCTGGAAACATCTGCTTTCCCTCCTGATACTGAGCCCATGGGAACTTGAGGACTACAATGGAGGACTCAGCGTGTGTCAATGCTTACTTTGCTTTGGAGAACTGAAATGCTCTTTTTTTTTTGGAGTCGGAGTCTCACACTGTCACCCAGACTGGGGTTTAGTGGCACACTCACAGATACTGCAGCCTTGACCAGGGCTCAGGTGATCCTTTCACCTCAGCCTTCCAAGTTGCTGTAAAAACAGGCATGCACCACCACACCTGGCTTATTTGTTTATTTATTTATTTATTTGAGTTGGAGTCTCACTCTGTCACCCAGGCTGAAGTGCAGTGGCACACTCATGGCCACCCCAGGGTTGACCTGCTGGGCTCTGGCAAGCTTTCTGCCTCAGCCTCCAAGTAGCCAGAACTACAGGCGCATGCTACCATGCCCAGCTAATTTTTTGATTTATTGTAGAGGCAAGGTCTCGCCAAGTTGCCCAGGCTGGTTTTGAACCCATGGGCTCAGGCAATCCACTCACCTCAGCCTCCCAAAGTGCTGGGATTACAGGCTGAGCCACTGAACCCAGCCTTGATTTACTGTAGAGACAAGGTCTCACCAACTTGCCCAGGCTGGTCTCGAACCCCTGGTCTCAGGCAATCCTCTCGCCTCTACCTCTCAAAGTACTGCGATTACAGGTATAAGCCACCTCGCCCAGCTGAGAACTGAAATACTTAATGGCTTAACAGGTAAATAATTACAGGGAAAGAGATGATTGGATGTTTCCTGAAAGGAGAGACTGAGAGTGGGAAGCCATTTTTTATCTTGTTCTTAAACCCTGACACAATGATGAGAAAGTAGAAGCTATGCTTTTGGAGAAATGCACACTTTAAGTATAATTAACTTTACTGACTTTGTCTTTTCAGAAACAGACTTCCAGGTATGAGAGGTATCTCATAGTGGCAATCAAGCTTACCTAGAGTAAAGGGAATTTACAAGGCCTAAGACATCATGCATTGGGCAAGGAGTATAAAAGTCATGAAACTTGTAATTACAAAAGTTATAACCGCTCAGAGGGAGAGCAGGTGGAGATTTGATCTTCCAGCAAATTGGGCACTATCTACAGGGAAGCAAAGGATCCCCCGAAGCTACCCACTGGGAATGCCTAGGAGATAAGGGGAGGTGCACCCTCCACTAGCTCTAAGGAATGTCGTTTGGGAAGGTGCAGGAGCATTAGAATCCTTGTCACACCCTTCTCTAGGGGCTATGATAATGTGGGCAGACATTAATGGCTGTCACAGGATCGCCAAGACATCCACAGGTGGTCAACAAGGAAGTCATGGCAGTCACATGCAACATCTCCAAGAAAAGGATATATGTCAGAACTCTGGGGGGCTACAAGACCACACTCACCTGGAGTGTAGGCCCACTCCCTGTCTATGGGGGGTGAACTTTTCTTAAACAAATCTTTTCTTCTCTCACCTCTGTGTGTCGCAATTCTTTGCATCTACTCGGATTTCTGGGCTGCCAGCGCAGCACCTCCAGCTTGCCAGCCCCGGCAGTGCTACATACCTCCCTGCGCCTCTCTACCCTCACCCTGTCCCTGCCATACCCTAACATTTTCTAAGATAAGACATCTGAAGGTTCAGGGTCTCCTGTCTTGTACAGAAGGGTACGTCAGAGGCTACTATATGCACATGCCTGGCCAGCTCTGACTCCAGTGGGTGTCGTGTGGGCAGCTCCATCTCGCCTCTAAGACCACTGAATGGCATTAGCACCTCAAGGATCAACCTTAAGTGAAGGAGACCCAGCCCTGCTTCATTTGAGGGACTTGGGGGACTTGCTTCCCACATCAATACCTCACACTCAAGTGCTGGCTCCAGGTTTTTGCTTTCAGCCTGACTCAAATTGTCTTTCCTAAAGCAGCCTTTTCAGAATTACATACCAGTGCCAGTTTTAAAAGACTGTTTAAGATACTAGAACAGCCTATAACAGAAAAATTGAGCAGATGATCTCATTAGCTTAAGAGTAGGACCCCTCACATACACATTAAAGTCACGATGCCTAGGTCACTGGGAGGATCTGCTAGCTGTTAGTGTCTAGGGCATACTTGCTCTGGGTACCCATGTATTCCTAATTACGATTTTAAAAATACGTCAATTATGTTTTCCAATGACATATCTGGAATGCTGACACATTTCACCTTGGTTCCAGAGTGACTGTTGGTTTGTTCTCGTATGCTCTTAAGTCAGTTTCCAAATAGTCAGCAATAGGATGTGGAAGTTGACAACATCCAGCACCATACCTGGTCTGCCACTTTTCCAGGGACTCCCCTCTCTCTCGTGGCAGGTAGCAGCACTGCTGGAACTCATTAGCAAAGAGAATGCAGTCATGACGTGCATCCTTCAGGAGGTTTCGCAATTTGTTATACTGTCTGTGACACAGAGGAGAAAAATAAATGTAAGCGGCAGGTACTCATCTACTGTCACCCCCTGCTGAGGATCAGAAAGAGGCAAGGTACTTCAGAGCAAAAGACTGATTATGTGAAACCTGAGATGCGTCTTCCTACTGGCCTCCCGTGCTCAGGGCTTTTGGGCCTGGGCCTCGTTAAGCAGCTGCAGAACCCGGCGAACTTGAGACCAGCCTGTACAACTTGGTAGACTGCATCTCTATAAGTCAAAAAATTAGCCAGGCATCATGGTGTGTGCCTGTATTTCCAGCAACTTGGATGACTAGGGTGGAAGGATTGCCTGAGCCCAGGTAGAGGCTGCAGTGGCTGTGAGAGTGCCACTGTACTCTAGCCTGGGTGACAGAGTGAGACTCTTGACTCAAAAAAAAAAAAGTATTTCAGTTCTCCAAAGCAAAGAACGGCTAAATGGCTCTCCCTCTCCCTCCAGAGACCTTGCCATTTCTTGTGTGATTTTGCCACCGTGCCCCCTCTTTAGAGCCCGAATGCACAGGGGCAGGCAGGGAGGCGAGTACTTTCTTTTTACATCTCACTTTGTTCTGTAAATGGCATTCAGCACTAACACAATTTTTTTTTTTTTTTTTTTTTTGCTGGCAGCCCTAGAAAAGGACACCTAAGGTAAGTTTGGGGATTTACGGGTAAATTTTATGCCTGCAGCCACCATTACTTACACAGATGAGGACCAGCCTCAGCTGTCAGACAACTACCAGGAACTACCAACCATGCTAGCCAATACCATGAATCAAGTGTGAAATGTCACGTGGATGCTTTCTAAGAAGGTGCTTTCCAATAGTCTAGGCAACATGAAACCACAGAAAACATTCAGTTACTCTAAAGAGAATCAATTGTTATCTAAAAATGAGTTCTGTCATTCATAAGCAGACCCAGAACAATTATCATAATATTATAAGAAAGGAATTGGCAGTAGTGGGAAACTGGGGGGAGGGGCACATTTAATCAATAAGGGTACCTGATCTCAAACCAGGCAAAATGGGGACCAAAGTAAGGACCAAACTTTACCTATACAATGACCATTTGTATATCTAATCCTGAATTGTACCCCACATCCTTAAAATAAAATAAAAATGAATTCTGGCCAGACACAGTGGCTCATGCCTATACTCCCAGCACTTTGGGAAGCCAAGGCAGGAGGATCGCTTAAACCTAGGAGTTCGAGACCAGCCTGGCCAACATAGTGAAACTTTGTCTCCACAAAAAAATGAGCTGGGCATGGTGGTACACACCTGTACTCCCAGTTATACAGGAGGCTGAGACAGAAGGATCACCCGAGCCCAGAAGATCAAGGCTGCAGTGAGCTGTGATTGTGCCACTGCAGTCCAGCATAGGCAACAGAGTGAGAGTCTGACTCAAAAAAAAAAAAAAATGATTTCATATTAAACCAGATGTTAATACATAAATTATCCAAGTGACCTCAAGGGATCCTTCTGCCTCAGCCTCCCAAAGTGCTAGGATTACAGGTGTGAGCCACTGCACGCAGCCATTCTGTTAATTTTTTTATTTCAGAGAAAACACTGAAAAAATATTGCCTATTCTTCCAGCTTTTATCCCACAGAAGTTCTGCTCCCTGTACCTGTCGTTGTATTTTGTACATCTCAAATAAAGCACTTGAAATCAGTAAGGTCATTTGCTTACAAATGATCTCACATGCCAAACGCCCTTCATTCAGTGTGAGTATCTGCTGCACTTGTATGTGCCAGGCGAGGGTGGCTGCTGCACTAAATGCCCTCGGGACGCAATCAGAAATCCCCCTGTATTTGAATAGTGAACCCTGGGGGAGGGCTGAAGAAAAAAAAAAAAAATCAAAATAGAACTGCATAAGATCCAGCAACCCAATTCTGGGTGTAGACCCAACAGAAGTGAAAGTAGGGACTTGGACACTTGTACAACCATGCTCACAGCTACAGCACCCAAAATGTGGGTGCTATCTACTCATGGGGGGGAGGACAGACAAGAGGGGGACATAATGCCCAGCCACAGCAAAGAAGGAGATTCTGACATATGCTGCAAGTCACAAAAGGACAGATGCTGTGTGATTCCAGTTACAGGAGGTTCCTGGAGTCAAACGCAGAGAGGGAAGGCAGATTTGTCAATGGGGCTAGGGTGGTCTGAGGAGTTAGTTTTTAATGGGCAGAGAGTGTTAGCTGGGGCAGAGGAGAAAGTTCTGAAGATGGACGGGGGTGACAGCTGCCCAACAATGTGAATGTACCTACTGCCACCAAACTGTACACTTAAAAATGGCTAAAATTTTAAATTTTGTTACATACATTTTACCACAATTCAAAATAACAGCTAGGTTACTTAGCAAAAATGAACAAAACGAAACACAGAACCACCCATTCCAGTGGGGTAAGCCTTGAAAGGAGAACATGGGAGGGATGGAAGGCTTCTGGAGTGGGTGACCCCTGAAACCTGAAGGACAAATGGGGGTCAGCTGGACAAAGGACCCAAGGGAGGATGGTGGGCCAGGATGGTCAGGACAGCAGATGGCATTGCTCATCTCTGTGTCTTTCGGGCCTAACCCAAAGTAGGTGATCAACGAATAAACAATGCACAGCTCAGTGTGCTGACAGTGACCCCGGGTCATCATGGCCCTGAATGGACCAACTTTTCCCGACCCAAATTTCCTCTTACTAGGGTTCATACACAATGTGCTCCTTCACTTAGATCCAGGCCTTGAACTCTGTCATCTCCAAAGACTGACGCAGGGCTCACAGGCACATCAGAGTGATGTCGACCCTTCCCAATATTTAGAAAAATACACAACTGAATGAGGAGAATTCTCTCAATGTTGTTTCACTCCCACGTATGTTCTTAGACTTTAGTACATGTGTCCATCTGTCGGTTCCTATCATTCAGATAAAACAAACAACAAATGGCACAGGAACATTCACACAGAAGCAGGAGCCACATAGCACATTACTCGGAGTGTGACAGCTGGGTCCCCTTGCAGACATGTGAGCTACAGTCATAATTCAACAGTGCACACAGACTATGGAGCTGTATTTTTGCTAGTCAGGTTTGTAGTGCCCATGGTGTAATTGGATAGCTGAGGGTCCTGCGTGGAGGACCACGGTGCTTGAGCCAAGCTGATCAGGATGGTAGAACTGAGGGGCCAATCAGGTAGAGGGCAATTATTTTAAGTTGTAAAAATTCTGGTCTTAGTCAGATGCCTTAGCTCACTCCTATAATCCCAGCATTTTGGGAGGTAGAGGCGAGAGGATTGCCTGAGTCTAGGGGTTTGAGACCAGCCTGGGCAACTTCGTGAGACCTCATCTCTACAATAATCCATTTTTTAAAAATTAGCCGGACATGGTGTGTGCCTGTGGTTCCAGCTACTTGGAAAGCTGAGATGGAAGCATCACCTGAGTCCAGCAGGTCGAAGCTGTGGTGGCCGTGAGGGTGCCGCTGTCCTCCGGCCTGAGTGACAGGGTGAGACTCCTACTCAAAAAAAAAAAAAAGGAGGGAGAGGCACACTTCATCAATAAGGATATCTGATCTCAAACCAGGTGAACCAAAGTGAGGCCAAACTTTACCTGTACAATGACCATTTGTATACCTAACCCTGAATTGTATCCCATATCTTAAAAAAAAAAATTCTGGTCTTACAGGAAAAAAACCCAGTTTCCCTGGACTGGCTTAGATGCTCCCACAGCACCATCACTCAGACATTTTTTTTTTTTTTCAGTTGGAGTATCACTCTGTTGCTGAGGCTGGAGTGCAGTGGCATACTCACGGCCACCCCAGTGTCGACCTGCTGGGCTCTGGTGATCCCTCCACCTCATCATTCCAAGTAGTCAGATCTACAGGTACGTGCTACCAGGCCCAGTTAATTTTTGATTTTATTGTAGAGACGAGGTCGCGCCAACTTACCCGGGTGGTCCAGAACCTGCAGGCTCAGGCAGTCCACTCGCCTTGGCCTCCCAAAGTGCTGGGATTACAGGCTAAGCCACTGAGCCTGGCGTTTTTCTTTTTTTTTTGAGTCAGAGTCTCACTGTTGCCCACAGCATCAACCTGCTGGGCTCAGGTGATTCTTCTGCCTCAGCCTTCTAAATAGCTGGAATTACAGGCATGCCCACCTAATTTTTTGATATATTGTAGAGATGAGGTCTCACCAAGTTGCCCAGGCTGGTCTCGAATTCCTGGGCTCAGGCAATCCTCTCACCTCAACCTCCCAAAGTGCTGGGATTACAGACTTGAGCCACTGTGCCCGGCCCACCCAAACATTTTAAACAGTTTTTCAGGGGGACAGCAAGGTGACTTTTTTATGATTGTTTAGTGGTAACTGCGCCTGCTCATGTAGTGCCCCCTCCCACCTCAGGCCACCCTCTGAGGAGAAGTGGGAGCCCCAAACCCCGTGGGCAGATGCACAGAGATGTGCATTCTGTGTCAGCAGTGCTGCTTCACCCAGGTTCTGCAGAACACTGGGAAGGTCCACAGACTCATTCTCACAGGCCCCTGAGTCTCCTACAAGCTCATGTCTCCATTTATATTAGACAATGTGCCTATAACATCTTCACGACGTACATTTTGGGTCATCGAGCACTGCCTTCTAAGTCCACTGCAGATGGCATCAGTAGCAGCCCTCTCAGAAGCCCCCAGGCCCTCAAACTCCAGACCTTGATGCTCCTACCTATCCCTGCCTCCCAACGTTCCTCCCTGTCCAGTCGTGGATGCCAGAAACCACAAGGTAACCCTTAACACCACTGTCTCCCCATCTCACATACCTAAATCCATTATTATTGCTATGGATTTTTAAAATCACAGCTTTATTGCTATATAATTCACATACCATAAAATTTTCCCTCTTAAAATATACAATTCAGTGGTTTTAGTATATCACAGAGTTAACAACCACCACCACTATCTATTCCAGAACATTTTAAGCACTACAAAAAGAAACCTGTATTTAGGTAGCAGTCACTGCCCATCCCTAGACCCCTGGCAGC